ACCCTAAACCCTAAACCCTATGGCTGAGCAAAGGTTCTGGCACTTGGAGCATGCCTCCGTAGGCGACGGCCCCTTCCCTGAGCACCAACTGTGCTTCAGAACCGGAGCCTCCCCTAATCCCAACCCTAAGCCCTACCTATAGTCTCCATTGCGGTTCCTTTTTTTTTTGCTTTAACCAAGTCTATATGAAGGAAGTCATAAGGTATCCCCCAAAGGGAACTACAATGGAGACTATAGGTAAACCCGAAACCCTAATCCCACGTCCACAGAGAGCGCCGACCTGGCTACATTCTCAGCTCCCCACTTTGGAGGGCGGATCAAGCCATGCTATGTTGACATGAGCGCCGGGGCGCTCTTTCTGGGATTTCGGTTTCCGGAAGTTTGGGTGCGGGACTTCAGTGTTTTGAGAAGTTCGCTGAGGCTTTGTTCGGACTTCAACATTAGGGCAAGGGTCAAGGCAGAATCAAGCCGGATTTTTGAAGGCTGTGTGCTTAGGAGTCTATGGTTTGGGGAGTACTGGGCTTTTGAGGTATGAGACAGTGTCATCGTTCTTATGGAGGTTCGCAACATTGTCGCGGCCAAGTGTAGAATGGTTTAGGGTTTTGGGTGGAGTGTCAGAAACAAGCTACGTGGCTGGTTTCCTAGAGAGCTAGAGGCTAACCTTTCAAAGAAAAGGATGCACCAGCCCAAGAAGCTTCAAACACAAAAACACAATCTCTGCTACCAAGAAGATACCCAGGAGCCCCATACCCCTTAAATGGAGGAGAAACCCTCAGATCAGAAAAAAACAAAAGAAACACATGAAATGCTCGCTTGTCCATCTATACTTCTTGCGACCCTTTCGCACACCATGTCAGACAGTAGAATTACTGTATGGGCTGGCTACACCTTATAAGCCACAACCACGAACCCTAGAAGCTGCAACGCCAAACCCGCTAACAAAAAGTGGCCTAAAATTTTAGAATGGGGTTTTGGGGTATATTATGCTATAAATATACTAAGGAACCCCAACAAACAGTATAGGTAATTATTAAGGCCCCTGTCTTACCCTGAGATCCTATAAGCCACAAGCAACCCCGCCATGGCCCAAAGTTTGGCCCTCACTCCGATCTCAAATCCCAAGATCTACCACCCCTACTAAACCCTCAGCCGTAAGCTTACTCGCTTTAGGGTCCGGGTTTAGGGTTTAGGGTTTAGGGTTTAGGGTTTAGGATTTAGGGTTTAGGGTTTACGGTGCGCAGCCCTCCGGGAACTTGGGGAGGGGAGGGAGAAGGAGACGATCTCTGTATTTCGAATGTCAAAGCTTGCATCAGGCCTGGCCTATGAGTCTGTGTGTCACGCTCTCAAAATCATGTAGGGCTTTGGGCTTCGGGTTCATCCAGACGCTCACCGAGTCAAGCCAATCTACATGGGTAGCTCTCTAGATTAGGGTCCCGTTTTGGATCCCCAAGATGGTACGGCACCCGTATGAAAAGGACCCAAAAAGGGACCCCAATTTAGAGAACTACCCATATAGCTCAAACCCTAGACCCTAAACCCTAAACCGTTTATATAGCTCAAGGCAAGCCCAACAGCCAACGAGCCCTTCAGCCTGAAAACCCCACGATCCGATCTATCCGAAACCCGTCAGACTTAGCCCTGATCCCAAAGTCTTCACGGGTTTAGGGTTTAGGGTTTGGGGTGTAGGGTGGTTTAGGGTTTGGGGCTTAGGGAAAACCTAAACGCGCTGATCATCCGCACCTTCCAGCTGCATGCTGCAAGGCATTGTTATCCTGAGCTGCGTCAGGGTTCCGGGTTTACGGGTCTAGGGTTAGGGTTTAGGGTTTAGGGTTTAGGGTTTAGGGTTTAGGGTTTTGTGTTTAGGGCTTCAGCTTCGGGCTTCATCTCGCGCAGTTCTGGTCCAGAGGAAGTCCTGGGCTTCAAACAAAGGAAACTACAGGAGGGGAGTTTAGGGTATATAGGGTTTAGGGTTTAGGGTTTAGGGTTTAGGGTTTAGGGAGTTTAGGGTATATAGGGCTTCTATAAAGCTTCCATGAGGTATATAAACCTTCTATAAGGCTCCTATATCGGTACACGACCCACCTGAACATGTCCTAGACTTAAGCGGTGCCATGTCTGGAGGTCCAAGTGGTGAGGGCTCGGAGAGCCTGGAGAAGCTGAAGCTTTCAATGTCCCCGACGGATGAAGGTTTGCTAAGTTGACATTAGGGTTTAGGGTTTAGGGTCGGAAACTCCCCAGCCCCTAGCTGACAACAAACCCCAAAGAATGCTGAACCCGAAGCTGCACCGCAAATTCGAGTGAACTCCAAGCCTACCTCAGGTCCCTGCAGAGGGTCTAATCCCCCATACCCCAAGCCCAAAGCCACCCTCAACTGCTCGATACCGCACGCCTTAAGCCCCAATCCCGCAACCTTTTTTGTTAGGGTTGATCTTGGCCTGCACTGCTGGGTTCGGGACCTACAGAAAAAGATCGTCTGAAGTAATACATGAAGCAAACCAGAAACCGCTTATAACGCCAAAGAGCTGCAGACTGTGAGCCCTTGTTGAACCTTACAGAAGCCTTATAGAAGCCCTCATTAAGAGAACCCTTCTAATCATAAAGGCACCCCATTCTTAGGCAACTTAGAATCCTAACAAGAATCATCTGTTTAATAGTGAACCCCTTGGAGTCTTAATGGAACAAAAACAACAAACTCCTGGTAACACTCGACCTATAGTCTCCATTGTAGTTCCTTTCTTTGGTTTAACCAATTATATATTAAGGAATTCATAAGGTATCACCAAAAAGGAACTACAATGGAGACTATAGGTAGTACGCTAAGCCCGTAATGAGCTCATATTCGCCCTAAGCCCTAAACCCTAAACACTAAGCCCAGTCTCGCTCACGAAGCCCGGACCAACACTCTGGGCACCACCCCCTGGCATGTAGATGGTGCGTTAAGCTCTACACCTGGATCCTAAAGGGTTTCGGGTTTAGGGCCTGTTAGAGGTGTTGGGCAATCATTTTAATGTAGGGGCCTTAATAATTTGAACAGGGTTTGGGATATATTATCCGATATTTTTCATAAGGAGCCCCCGACAATAATATCGGTAACTATTGAGGCCCCTATATTACCTAATTTGGAGGTCTAGGTAGGGTTGGGTTTATACATCATATACGGGTTTGGCAGGTATGTCTCTGTCGGTCAGCCACTACGGACTTTGCACAGGTCCTTGCCTGGTTGATGCAGTGCCGATGCTAGATTTGGGCGTTGGACCTCTATTGCTTCCACTTGTTGCTACCAGAGTCACGGCTGCCGAGTCAACAACAGCATCACCCGCACAAAAGCGATTGTCGCGGCCCAAACCGCTACAACTTAGTACGGTGATTAACTCGTCGTTCACTTAGCACTTACCCTGGGTTCACTCTTGTTTGACTTCTTGTTGTAATCGTTTCGGCGCCTCCGGAGGTCCTGCTAATTTTCGGGTTACGAGCTCCCGGTCCTTGCAGGAACCTTTTTGTTAGGGCTTGAGGCTTTAAGATTCGAGGCTTGAGGGCTTTCGGACTCGATCGTTCTGCAGGGCCTTCCGGTTTCGAGATTTCGCCTGCGAGCTGTACCACAGAAGTCCAAGAAGGTTTAGGGTTTAGGGTTTAGGGTTAAAGGTACACGGACACGAGCAACAGGCTTTCTGGAGAGCCTCAATCCCTGAAAGGCTCACGCGCGCCGAGCTACTGTTGTTCCCATGGCGCTTGGCTCTTGATCGACCCTCCGGCAGTCTTGGGGTTTTGGATCTGGGCCATTATTGCCAGACTGTGTTTGCGCTTTTCGGATGCCTCAATCGAGTCTTGCCCAGCAACAGGGAGGTTTTTGGCCATCCAACATGAACAAGACCGTCGCACTGTGAAAAAAACACTGCAACCTAATGTTGGGGCCTTGATAATTAGAATAGGGTTTTGGGGGTTCCTTATTATAATTATAGTACAAAAACCTCCCAAACCCTACTCTGATTATTACGGTCCCTATATTCTGCTGCCTCGGCAAAGCACTCACTTCTTCGGCCCAGACGGAAAGCCTAAGAGCCTTCTGTCGTCGTGGACCCTGCGGAGTCACTATCGGTATCCGCTGCCATCGGACTCCCTTGTGCAGCACATGGCCCGGGTAGCGCGTGGCAGCGGCCGAGAAAGAGCTGCAGGAGGCAAGGCCCACATCGTGGCAGCGCCAGGGTGCCCCTCATGCCTTCAAGCTCGATCAGGGTTTAGGGTTTAGGATTTAGGGTTTAGGGACCGAGAGCAACAACCCTTAACTAAGGACCACACATTGAAAAATACGGGACTTAAAACATTACCCTCTGTGGCTTCTTCCGGGGAAGTGCGCAAACTAATGAGAAGGGGTTTATCGTCAACTACCTTAACCTACCAGAACCTACTTTTTTGTAGGGTCCCTATGAATTCCTTGTTAGGGTTTATAATAAGAACCTGCAAAAAAGTAGGGTTTGGTAGTTTAAGTTATAGCCAGATGGATGAGGCCTTTGAGTCAAACCATAAACTCAATCTGTTTTGTTCTTGCTTGCGGTTGGTAAACCAAACTCCTATAAACCTTAAACCCAGAGCGCCAGTACGGCGTCGCATGCAACTGAAGTGCCGAGGAAGGAGAAGCAGCACATGGCCGTGTAGAAAAATGCGTCGATCAAGGCTTGATCTGGCAACTGCCCACTGGAACCGTACCTGAGCGGGTTAAGGGTTTGGGGCCTAGGGTTTAGGATTTGTCTTCGAAAGCTGTATATGTTGATTTCGGATTTGGGGGCGTCCAAGAAAAACAAGTATGCTCCATGCTGCGCCCTCACTCCTTGTACAGACTACTGGAACTGGAAAACATTTCAAGAACAGCCTAGGCACCATTCCCATTGTACCTGGACCAGGGATTAGGATGTTTTTCGCGTACGCTCATGCGCATGTAGAAAATTTCTTGTAGAGCGCTGCAAAGGATGGAATAAGGGAGCCACATATAATAAACATAGACCCCATAGATTGATTGTAGCACGCTTCTTTAAGGACCCCTAAGTACCCTCAAAATAATAGCCAAACCCTAAACCCTAAACCTCCTGCTAGATGCGATTTGCCCCAACCTACTCAGATTTTACCATGCTTACGCACATATATATATATATATA